GGATGGATGGATGGATGGATGGATGGATGGATGGATGGATGGATGGATGGACGTCAGAAGCATATGTAATGTGGGAGGGAAGATGGATGGATGGATGGATGGATGGATGGATGGATGGATGGATGGTGCCACCCAGGCGAAATGAAGCTGTTTTGACCATTAAATAAATGCATAATAAACATGACGGGACAGCGGTGACACATAATAAATTAAACTTATACAGTATGTTTTTTTTCCTCTTCATGATGCTTTTTTTTAACTGATGCGACTTATACGCTGGAAAATACAGTATTTACATCTCCTCAAAACTGGAAGCAAAGGCTCTTGTTAACTTGTCTTTTCTACGTGAAACCTATACTGTATGTTAAAGTTCTCATGTGACTAAAGTCTTATTGCTGCTCAAGAATTTTTAAAATCTGTTCAGTTTCACGCAGCCACTGACTGACGTTTACTTTTCAGCCTGCATTTCTGTCTGCCTCTCATTAACTTGGCAGTCAAGGAGTGAGAGGCACAGGTGTGTGGTTACCATGGCGACCCTAATGAGCCACCGCTGCAGCGCTAACATTTCTTTTGACCTTGGTTCTCTTTCCACGTCGTATACAGTTCATGCATCAGAAGTTTGCTCGTTTTCATTTTACAACTGGATTTCTTTCCAGTTTTTGAAAGCTGTGACCAGGAGTCAGCAGTTTGTGCTGCATTTGTTGTGAGTCACTTTTTAATCATTTTCACTTTTTAATCATTTTCACTTCCAACTTATCAGATGCATCAGGATCTTTCGGCTGGCGGTGTCCTTTTTTTTTTTTTTATCTGCAGCTGCTTTTCTCAGGGTGAAGACTGACAGTGATTGACAGTGTTCAGCTTTTAGCTTGTGCTCCCATCGGGAGGCCTGAGTTCCTGAATCCAAGTCTACCCCAGGGGTCTTTATCCTGGGGGGGTTACATTATGTGTTGGAATTTGTGACTTCTCTGCATGTCAAAAAAATAGGCAAAGAAAGGTGATGTCAAAAATTTCTTACCAAGCATCTAGGTTGGACAAATATGAAGCTAAAAGGCTGTATTGTGAAACAGATGTGGTTAGAAACGGTCATTTATTACCATCCCTGCAGAGTCGGAGTGTCAGTGTGGGCTGAGTAACCACAGCCCAGCTGTTGTACAACCTCACAATGCAGCAGGAAGGAAGGATATTAGAGGTCTATTTGCAGCCTTGAGGGAGATGGATTGAGAGAATCGAGGGATGGGAGGAAGAAAAGGTGAAGGAGAAGGAGGGGCAGAAGGGCAGTAAAAATGTAGAGGCGAAGGGAGGAGAGCTGGTGATGTATGTGCTGCTATTTGCAGCTGGCTGGTTGTGCAAACATGTGGGAGCTGTGGCTCTGGGTCATATTTGAGGCAGACTGACCCAACGGCCTAGAGCCGTCATCTGGAAGGGGGTGGGGGGTGCAGATAGAGACACAATACGCAACACATGACTACAACAACATGCAAAACCTCTAAAACGTATTTTATGTGCCAGAAATTTTGCACAGTACTTTATTTCCCTTTTGAGGCTTAATAGCTTCTTTTAAAACAATTGTATTTTTAATAATATTCAATATTTTAAGTATTTTGTCCTAAAATGCATCTGCTTTTGACTTTAAATGATTTTTCTTTCAAGGATCAAGTTTTTTTTTATTGTCATTCGCATGACATTTGCTACATGAGGTGGAATGAAATTGTGTACACAGGGTCCTGGTTACACCCAAAAATAGCCAAAATGTAAAGTATAAAAAGAAACAGTTTACAAGATATACGCTAAACACTGATAGTGTAAAAATAATACGATGTATTAAACAGCAGCCTGAAGCATAAAGCAGTATAAAGTAATTTTTTTTTTTCAGACTATAAGGCACATTTAAAATCCTTTAATCTGATCAAAAATCAACAGTGAGCCTTCTGTATTAGTTCTGGTTGTGCTTACTGACCTCGAACTGATTTTATATGGCACAACTGAACAATGTCGAGAGTTATTGTGAATAAGTTGAATAAAGTTTGACTTATCTGACTGTTTTGTTTCACTTAATACGCCTTTGTTGCGCCTTATAGTCAGAAAAACACGGTATGAATCAGCCTTTATATGCATACGATGAATTATAGTGAAGAACTGTTGATGAAATAACTCCCATTTTAATGTAAATCAGACGTTTTTCAACTTTAAAATGTTTGTATAAATGGAGGGCATACTGTATTTGCATTATCTTGACCATAAAATAATATATATATATTTATTTAAAATGGTGGGTCCAGTCCTGTTCAGAATGAATAAAAAAGTCATAGCTTGTCTGTTAGCAAAATATCTTACCCACTGCTGGATGAATTTTAATGAAACTCTCAGAAAGTAATCGCTGATGGTACATCTACAATAAATAAATCTTTGAGGTCAACCGGACTCAAGATGGCCACCGCAGTTACGTTAACAGGGCCACATGGAGACAAATGAGTTTAAAATAATATGCCTGTTTTTGGTCTGTGGGAGTAAATTGGAGTACTTGGTACCCAGGAAGCGAACCCGCGACCTTCTTGCTGTAACGTGTCAGTGCTAACAACTGTTCTACCGTGCTGCACATGTGCTTCAGTGTTTATAACATCCAGTGTGTCATTGATCAATAATTTTATGACCCGCCCAAAAAAGTTTGCAATGGAAACACATTGAGAACCTCCCAGTTGTTGATCTGCAATCTTTATGACACTCAAACAAAAGCTCTAAACTTATTACGAAACAAGAAATAATTGTTAACATTATAACCTGGGATGAGCAACTTGCATCTTCTGTTTTAGCAGCGACAGGAGCGTTCACAACCTGGCAACCCGCACGCTCCTCTGATCCATGTGTATCACAAGCCATTAATAAATTATTCATCAAAGATGTTATTGATAGCTCTCCCTCTCCCTCTCCAGGCGTACTGGAAAACCCTGAACCAGATGCTGCAGAAGCTGAGCCAGAGGCTGGCCCTGATGAGCAAGGGGGAGGAGAGCATCGTCAAAGTCTCCCTCAACGCTTCCTCCATCTCCGACAAGCTCGTGGCTTTCAAGAGCAAGCCTCCACCCATCCAGAAGGACATTCTGTCCATCTGCAACGACCCCTACACGCTGGCACAGCAGCTCACCCACGTGGAGCTGGTGAGCCCCGAGGGAGGGAGGGAGGGGGATCGGTGCGGGGGTTAGACAGAGGTCAGGGCAAGAGAAGGTAACAAGGATGGACAAAGTGGGGGAGGAAAGGATGTTGAGGGAGTGGCACGGTGGTAAGAATGAGACAATCTTAAGGTCTTAAACATTAAAATGAAGCCTGGCTTGACCGTTTATCACAGTGTGGGTGTTCATGAAGCATTCACACTGGCATCCATTTTTCTTCCGTACGTTTTTCAGCATCTTTGTCGTTCCACAATTTTTGTGCTATTTCAACAATTCATATATCAAAATGTTCAGCTCTTTCAGGAGAAGGGTGCTATGACTTTTGGTATTGGTGCAACTTTAGGTTTTTTTTTACATATTCTGCCTTTTCTGCCATTTTTTTCCCTCATAAGACACAAATTGAGCTCATTTTACATCCTTCATATCTTTAGATCTGTTTACAACATTTTACTACTCCTTTCATATTTTGTTCTGGTTCAGCTTCCTTCAGCGTCCTTGTGCAAATTTAAACTTTTTCAGCTAATTGCAGCTAATTTCAGCTGGGTTTTTTTAGCTGTTTTGTGATCTTTTTAGATTCTTTCTGCTAACTGCAACATTTTTGTGCTTCTAACGTCTTTCTGCTAATTTTAGCTTGTTATACTGCTTTCAGCTTACTTATGCAAGTTTCAGATTTTTCTGCTATTTCAGCTACTACTTAGCTTTTTATGCTAATTTGAGCTTTTTCAGCTAATTCCACACTTTTTGCACTGATTTCAACATTTTTCAGCCTAATTTAGCAAAAATGTGCTCTCTCTACTTCGTTCTGGTAATTTAAGCTTCTTTCTGCCTTTTGGCTACTTTTCAGCTGTTTTTTGTAAGTAATTTTAGCTTTTTTCAGATAAGTTCCACTTCTTTGTGCTCCTTTCTGCTTCTTTCAGCCTAATTGGACATTGTATTCTTTCTGTTTTCTTCCGGTAATTTAAGCTTGTTCTACCTTTTCAGCTACCTTTTAGGCATTTTTAAGCTAATTTCAGCTGTTTCCAGATAAATTCAGTTTTTTGTGGTAATGTCTGCTACTTTTAGCCTAAATAACTTCTTTCTGCTAATTTGATCTTTTTAATGCTTTTTTCAGCTTATTTCTGCTAGTTTAAATTATTTCAACTACTTTTTTTTTAACGTTTCAGTTATTTTTTTTCTAATTTCAGCCTTTTTTTAGCTAATTTCTTAATGTTTGTGCTCATTTTTGCTTATTTAAACCTAATTCAGAAAATTTGTGTTTTTTATGCTTTCTTCAGCTAATTTAGGCTTGTTCTTCCATTTCAGCTACATTTCAGAATGATTTTTTTTAGATAATTTCAGACATTTTTCAGCAAGTTGTTCTGCAGTAAGCATGCACACTGCATTTTTGCAGCAATAGTTATTCCTGCATCAACAAGTGTTTAGCCATTGCAATGAAAGGAAGAACAAAAATTGAACTAAAAACACACAAAAGGATCTCTGCAGCGTCCCTCTCAGTCCATGCCTGGTGCTTTTGAGCTAATTCATGTGTGTCTCGACGTGGGCACGTGTTTCTGAGGGGGGTTGTGTGTTTGTGCGTGCACGTTTTGAGCACGCCTGTCCTCTTGTCTGAGCGTTGACATCACCCTAGAAGTCAACAATGTGCCTGAGGCTGCGAACAAAGAGGATAAAACTGCTGTGGATTTATGTGACTTGACAGCTTTGTACTCACACACACACACACACAAAGGGACACACGTGCGTGCACAGTTCACACATTCTAGCTTTTTAAAATGTCTTGTATAGGTTTCTGCCACACATCAGTACTGAGTAATGGTTGTCATTGCTGCTGTCGGATTCGTGTTTGTGTGGTGGGTTTGGATTTTATCTCGGGGTGTGATGAGTCCATCGAGCCATGTTGATTTGCACGTGTGTGCGAGTTGACTGCCGTCTTTTAATAGAAGTGAACATTGTCTCCAGTGTCACTTTGCAGAAATATGATACCGGTGAGTCACATCGGTGAGTCATTACTTCCCCGTATCAATAGGCTTCCAGTGCTGTAATTAAAGAGTTATTGAAGGGACTGCTCATGTGTGTGTGTGTGTTCTTATAGTACTCATGTGTAGAGTATATAAATGTGTTTGTGCAGTTGCAACAAAAAGCAAAGTCCTATAATGAAAGTGTTTAATTATTTGAGTAAAAATAAGATAGAAAGCTAAATTTAGTTAAATAATTGTTATGCTAACGGTAAGCATGCAGGAAATGGATGTGAATCCATAAAACGTGTGTGTGTGTGTTTGTTTTCCAGGAACGTTTAAGCCATATTGGGCCCGAGGAGTTTGTCCAAGCCTTTGTTCAGAAAGACCCACTGGATGGAACTCAGGTAAGCTTTTATTTTGTGAATATTTGTGATGTGAGTCAGGACTATTTTCAGAACAAACACACACATGGGATATTAGATCAATAAAAATGAATGTTTTGCAACATCAGATGCTCAAACCAGAGCCCTAAAGCAGAAACTGGTTTTAGAGCTAAACCTGTGAGTAGCTCATTCTACCGGTAATTGAATTTATTTTCTGTTTCAGCTGTGGAAAGCTGAAATGATTAGTTGACCATTACTGCAGCCACGATTCTGAGATTTAAAAAGTGATAGTAAACATAAATATATTCACTGAATGTTTACTTCAAACTGCCACGCCTTATTTTACATTGTCAATTATACTTTCAGCAACATATCATACCCTTGTAATAATTTATATTGTTGGTGTATAAAATGAATTATACCGTGAATATTGTCCAAACTTGAGTTTTCATGAATTCATTAGCAGTAATTTTATGTAAAGAACCCCCCTCTACTCACTTTTTCTTAATTTTTTTAATGTGCTTAAAAAACAATGACACTTGGCAAAAATGTCTGGGAAATATAGCTATTGTAATTAGAGATGCACAATATTATCGGCATGATATCGATATCGGCTGATATTAGCGATAAAGGTAAATATCGTCCATTACATCAAAATAACGCACCGATATAAAAGGCACTGTTTATATATATATATATATATATATATATATATATATATATGGCGCTGTTTTTATATGACAACCCAGTGACAAGGATGCCTGCAGCGCCAGCACGTTATGACATCACATGGTAGCAGGCCAAATTGACAAAGACCATGCAGAATAATATAGTATTTTAATTCCACAGAAGAAAAGCTATGTAGTCTCTGTAAGTAGGTCTAGGGGAAAACATGTAGGTATTGGTATCAGTTATCGATCAAATAAGTTTTAACATATCGGATATCGGCCAAAAATCCAATTTCGTGCATCCTTAATTTAATAGTATATATTTCATGTGGCAGGGTTTGTTAGCACCCAAAAGGCAGGATGAAGACAGAAACTTGAGTTAAAAACAGAATTTTTATAACACAACCAAACCAAAAGTAGCTGACATGGCAGCAAAATGAACCGAGAGGAACCCAACAGGGTGCTGACAGGAACGAACACAGACAGGGAGTATTTATGATGATTAGTGAATGAACGACAGGTGTGCTGATGAGCAGATGAAACCCAGACGTTGCGTAACACAGGAAGCCGAGCGCTGAGAAACTGGGAAGCTACCTGATAAGACTAAACTACAAACATGTCTGAAAACACTCAAAAATACAAATAAAAAGAACTACAAACTGGAAACAAACACAGTCACAAAAATAAACTGATTTATGTTTAGCAAGACTGGCCTTAAAACAATGAGCTCGTTTGGTAACTAATCATTTTGAATTTTGTCTCTTGAAGTCAGTTTTTGCGCAGGCGCTAACGTTGTAGCTAGCTAAAAGCTTTTGCATTCAAAAGCTTTTTAAAAAGACCATTTACATTTATTAATTTAGTTTGGATGTCTCAGCTCAATAAAACAAGTATCAAACTTACTGAAATAATCATTGTGAGCTGCGTCCATTCTCACTCGAGGCCTTTTTAATTGAACTAATCAAGAATCGTGTTAGCTGAACGGTGCGTACTGTTGTGTAAAAGATAGTAAACGCCATGAAACTGAAGAATTCAGTGTTTATTTCCCACCGATGGCTGTTTTTATGAGCCGTTTGTTAAGTTCAGACAGAAAAATATAATTTTTAAAGCAGTTAGCACTTTGGTCATGTAGCTGGTTGCTCACTGCTAATTCCACTGATGTATATTTTTCCAGGTCTAAACTTACTGTAATAAAACTTGAAATAGTTATCATTTTACTTAGATAATCACAACTTTATTTTGACTTAAAAACAGATTTAATATAAACAAACATCAAATACTGCAGGGCAATTTTAAACTGGAATTAGGATTTGTCAGTATTTCCCACTGAACTGTCATGATGCGTGATGAGAAATCTGTCCTCATGAATAGCACATGCCTAAATAGCATTTCTTGCCATTTGTCCCAGGGAGGATAATATTGTGAAGATATTGATTTATTATTATTATTATTATTATTATTATTGACTAGCAAGATTTAAATTGGGAATATCTGTGATACATATTCAATCTAGCTCTTAAATGGGTTGCCAGATGGATCCCTTGATTGGGAGAGTCAAGAACAGTAAGAAAATATGTGCTGGGATGATTTTTCAAGAATAAATGCAGCATGAAAAAGAAGATTAATGTATAAAACTGACAATCAGGTTTGCTCACTTGTCCAAATCCTTTCCCACCCCTGGTCAATCTTTAGCAGTAAGAACAAAATGCTGAATGGAAAACATTTGATATAAACATTTAGATTTATATTCATTTGCTGCCATCTTTTTTCCACTCATCATTTCTTTTTTTTCTGCCTCGCCTTTATCTTTTGCTGTCTCACGGGGGGTCGGCCTTTAGTCAGGAAGCTAACTAAGGTCAATACAAATCACCATGGCAGTACTTGCTCTCCTTACCTGGTGTGTGTGTGTGTATCATCAGCAGCCATGTTTCAGTGATCAGAAGAAGAAAACCTCCAACCTGGAAGCTTACGTCCGCTGGTTCAACCGACTGTGCTACCTGGTAGCGACAGAGATCTGCATGGTGAGCAGGAAAATTACCAGAATTAAAAGCTAATTTTGCTAAATCTGACATTGGACTGTAGAGGAAAACCCACTCAGCACTCGAAATATGTTTAGTCTGCACATAACATCATTTTCACCACAAAGAACAAACAGCTGAATAAATTATTACTTTAGATAAGACTTTGAAAAATACTGCTAAATAAGAAAGCCACTGTAGAACATATGCAGAGTCATATCTTATTAGCTAATCTTCATATGATGGTAGTTGGTTTGTTTTAGAGCATCACTGCCCCCTCATGGACACTTTTAGTTACTGCAATCACTTGAACTAAATGGGTTAGTACCAGTAAAAAATAAAAAAGATGATATTTGCTTAGAAAAATTTAATTATGTCAATGGAAAATAAAAACTATATGTATATGTATATATTCCCCATTTTACAGCCATCCAAGAAGAAGCAGAGGGCCCAGGTCATCGAGTTCTTCATTGATGTGGCCAGAGAGTGTTTCAACATAGGAAACTTTAACTCCCTCATGGCCATCATCTGTGAGTTGGTTGTTTTATGATACATAAATGTGCCAAAAAAAAAATAATCATAAATCGTCTGATAGTAAAAACTAAAACTTGTTTTTAGTCGGGATTTTATTATTTTTATCTTTCCTGTAGCTGGCATGAACATGACTCCGGTGTCTCGACTGAAAAAGACCTGGAGCAAAACCAAGACAGCCAAGTTCTTCATTCTTGAGGTAAACACATTACGGTTGTTCACGTCTGAGGCGTAGAGGGCGCGTTCAAACCTAAAGCCGGCTGCTGTTTTCTTTATCAGCACCAAATGGACCCTACAGGAAACTTCTACAACTATAGGACGGCCCTGAGGGGCGCCGCCCATCGCTCACAGACTGCCAACAGCAACAGAGAAAGGGTTGGATCCTGAGCTTCACTACTATTTTGAAACATTAATGGGTTTAATTTGATATTTTTTACATTGTATTTATAATACACATTATGTTCCTCCTCAGATTGTGATTCCCTTCTTCAGCCTGCTGATAAAAGACATTTATTTCCTGAATGAAGGCTGCGCTAACCGCCTGCCCAACGGCCACGTCAACTTTGAGGTACCTTCCAAGTCTTGGATTATCAGGCTTCACACGCACCCTGAATCATTTAATCTGGACGTTCGCTTGCTTTTGCTTTCTTGCGCTTGTTGTTTAGAAATTTGTGGAGTTAGCGCGACAAGTCGGAGAGTTCATGACTTGGAAACGGGTGGAGTGTCCTTTTGAGCAGGATCAGGCCATCCTGCACTACCTCCACACCGCTCCCATCTTCAGCGAGGACGGTGAGTTAGTGGAACGTGGTGGCTCTGTGGATGGAATGACTTGCACCACAACACTTTGATCCAGACTGAAGTATTTTTTTAAACTCTTGTGAATTAGCCTGAAAATGTTTGCCTTTAGTATTCTTCACTCAAGAGGTGAGGAATCCCAGCTGCCATTACATTTCTGACAGTTTGTCTCTTTTTTTTTTTGGTAAATTTAATTGGATTGTGTTGAACTTTTGTGCATAAATTCCTGTTCAAGCCCAACCTAATTCCTTATTAAGAGGAGATAAAAGAAAAGTGAACAACACTGTTCTCAGCTCTGGTCGATACGGTTCATTTCAGTGTATTTAGTCAGTGACAAAGGCTGTTGTGAGAACTTGTCATAGAATGTATGATTTAAATATTATTTTTATGGTAACGAAGGATAACGTGGTCTTTATTAAGTGTTTAAAGTTGTTTTGCCATTAAAAAAAAAAAAAGATTAACTATACTATTTTATTTTGAAATTATCAATACATGGAAAATTAATGAGTTTTAACTGTATTTTTAATATATAAAAAATAAAAATAGTGTAACCGAAAAGCACTTCCATTAGCGTTTCCTTGCATGTAAATTGCATTAACGTCAGTTGTGTGTAATTTACTTATCGCATTCCTAATAAACTTGTGTGGACTTTGTGTTTAGGTTCAAGGTTCTTTATTGTCATTCGCGTCACATGTGGTACTTGAAATAGAACAAAACTGTGTACTCGAGGTCCTAGTTAGACTCATAAATAGCAAAAATATACACTATAAAAAAGAAACGGTATACAAAGATCCAAGACATATGCTAAACAATAATAATATAATATAATACGGTTTATTAAACAGCAGCCTGAACATGAGTCTGTAGTGAGCAGATGGGTGAATACAGCATCTTATGGGTAAGAAATCAGCAATCATGGATAAAGTGTCAAATCTCCAATTTAAGGGGCATTACAGTGATAATCCTGGTTAGAGATTCATGAGTAACAGCCTCAGGGTAGAAGCTGTTTCTCACTCAGTCTAGTGGTTCTACACTTAATGCTCTGCAACCTTCTACCAGAGGGGAGCGGGGCAAAAAGTGTGTGTGCTGGATGAGTGGGGTGCTCCATGATGCAGGTGGCTCTCTTCCTGCATCTGGAGGTGTAGATGTCTGTGATGGTGGGGAGGCTGACCCCAACAGACTTCTGTGCAGCCTTCACCACTCTCTGCAGAGCTTGCCTTTCTGTGCAGCTCTCGTGCCACACATTGATGAAGGAGCACAAGATGAGTAGGCCTCGTTTACGTGTTTTTTGAGTGAAACCGGAGCTTTTCTGCCACAGTTTGACCATTCCTTCTCTCTGAAACTGAAGATTTCTAAATCCAGGTTTTAGATTTTAGCTTTTCTGGAGAACCCCCGTGGATGTGTGAAATACTCCGCAGATGTGAAATTGCACGTGCGCATTACAGGCGGCAGCAGTTCTAAATTTGTCTGCACTAACAGTGACAGTAAATGGCAGAAAGCTGTTTGTGCTACTCACCCTTCAGCATGTAAGAGCAAACCAACAACATCCTAGGTCTAAAGTAGTTCATGTAGTCACCAGTTTGGCTGTAACTGTGATCGTATAGACACTTCATGCACTATGCGCACTGTTTGTTGAGAGCCTGGCATCAGGGTTGCCAGATAAACAGGAATAACTTTTTTTGCCCCCTTCTTTTCTGTGTACATGTTCAACCCCCTTCCTCTGAGAAAGCGCCCCTTCACTCACCATATAATCGTTTGAGTCACAATACAATAATTTTAAAGTGACAATAAAATAATTCAGCATTTCTTATTTGGCAACTCTGCCTGGCATAGAAACTACAGTAGATCCATGTAAAGACGACTTTTTCTTGTTAGCCACAATAAACAATGAAAAAACACAAACGTTTCCAGAGGTTGTTCTCATGTAAACAGAGCCCTAATAATTAAAAAAATACATAATAATATTAACATTTAACACATGATCTGTGCTTTAGGTTTACAGAGCCGCTTGTGCAATGTTTTGAGGAGAATCTATTATGTTCGGTAAAATGGATTTTTTGGGTCATGCATAGTTAATTTACTAAATATTCTCCTCTCAACCCTCAGGGCTCTATCTTGCATCCTATGAAAGTGAGAGTCCAGAAAACCAGGTAGAGAAGGACCGATGGAAAGCACTCAGGTGAGAACTTAAAATGAAAGTAGCATTTCGTGAAGGAATGTATATCACCCACCAGCTTGCATGAAAAAAAAAAGCTTTAAACAAAGAACTCAAATGATCAGAGCTTGGCTTATACAGCTTAGATGCCACCAAGTTTTAACTCTATATCTGTGAAAACGACTGAGCTGTAGCCATTTATGTAATTGCTGAGGTTGATTAGCTGTGGCGACCATCATGAATCAGTTTGATTATTAAAAGTTAATCAGTTGTAGATGTAAATTCAGTGATTAATTTCTAAGAGTTTCATTTAAACAGGTTCCACGGTTCATGAGCTATTTTGCTAACAGACAAGCTCACACAGAATTACATTATTGCATGAGGCCATTATACTTTTTCTGCCACAAGGTGCTAAATAAAGTTTTTGTATTCAAAATGACAACTTGTCCACCTCTCGTCTCCCATCAGGTCCAACGTCCTGGCAAAGACATGAGTCGATGATAACTCTAACCCTCTCAGCACCACTGGAGCGATTTTCTTTGCACTGAACTGGACTGTGAAGGAACCTAAAGCTGGTACTTAGGTGTTGTTGTTTTGTTTTTTTTAATAAGCAGCTTGAGTAAAGAAAAATAATTTTAAAAAACTCAACTTGAGTGTGGAAAAAAAAAAAAATCCAAAACCAGGAACAACAACAACAAAAAATCCTTGGCAGGATCATTTAGCTACAGTTTGTTGGAGAGGGATGGAGCTGCTCCGTTCCTTTCCGTATGTTTACTCTGTGAACATGTTTACTAACATATGGCATTTTTGCATCATAAGGCCTGGCCTGGCCCGGCACGTCATGGCCGCAGTCTACCCCAGCCATGGTTGTGTTTGCTTTCAGCAGAGAGCCGCCTCGATGTGAGCAGAGATAATGTATAAATAAAGGTTGATTGAATAGTATCAAAAATGTGTGATATCACATTATCTGCAACAAAAACAGAAGAATACATTCAGGGTGCTGAAACAACAAAAAAGCACAGCTCTCTCACAAACCAACAGTAACACAGGAGTGAAGGGAGTGAGCAGTTTCTGGAGGATGACTTGTCTGTGAGGTGAGGCCTCCGGGCAGGGCTTAATTTGTAAGCGATCGATGCCGGAATGCAAATAGTGGGCGGGCCAGCTGAGGGGCGGGGGAGGGGCCAGGGGTTTCGGTGTGCCCTCCCCCAGAAAATTTAGAATAAAGTACATGCAATTTCCTGCATTTTTATGTATTTAAACAGGTTGTTAAACATTTACCTAAATTTTACACACTCCACTTCTGTCGAGCATCCTCCCTTACTTGATGGTTCAAAGCCGACTCTTCTCCGCTGTATTCCCTCCTGCTCGTTGTTGTCCGACTCCACATGTGAAACCTTCAGGTGCCTCCTCCGTCTATTCATGGTGGCTGCCTGTGGGCTCCTGCCCACATACGACTGCCTGGTTAGCTCGGCACTCACCCCCACCAGTCTTTTATGGTAAATGGAGTGTACTTATATATCACCTATTCTATCGTATACTCAAAGCTCTTTACAACACAATCCATGCCCTCATTTATCCATCCATACAGCACTCCATCACATTCATACATGATGGAACACACATCGGAGACAATGACGGGTTGTGTCTTGCCCAGGGACACTTTGTCATGTGACTGCTGGTGGAATCGAACCCCCAACTCTTGCATTGATGGACGACTTCTCTAACCACCCAACCGCGGCTGTGGCTTTTAGGGCAGAGATTTTTTTAAGGGTATTTATGGAAATGTTACTTGAAGTTGCAGCTCGTATGTGATATTAAGAAGTCGTAAGTGGCTGTTGTGTTTAAAATGAGTGTTTATGTAATTATTTTCAGTTTACATATCCAGTTTAAGTTTTATTCGTTCAAGGCGTTCATATTTGTTCATAACTTTATTATTAGTAAGCCTGAGAGTTACCAGATCCAACCAAAGTTACCGGAACGCACCCTGTCAAAATAAGAGAGCTCCCGGATCCTGTTCCAGCAGGATCTAGCTCACATGAATCCGTGCCTCCAGGCCAGTGAAACAATCAGTGGCTAATATGCTGACGTCACATCGGTCCCAGCAGCCCAGCCCAAATGGAGCCCCAGGTCTCTGGGTTTCAGGAACGGGACTATAAGTGGGCCGTAACGCCAAATGCAAACACACAGAACCAGGCTTGAACCCGTGTCGGGCCTTTTGATGCAAAAATGCCATTAGACCATAGTTACAGGGAAGACCACTTCATTGTATCGACTCCTTGATGCCGTCTCGTGATTTTTTTCCTCTCTTATGATCTTTTCTGCTTTCATTCAGAGACTCAATTAAGTATTTAGCTTGAAGGGACTGTAAGGGAACAATAAATGACACGCAGGGCGCTGGTTAGCCCACATTGTACAGGTCAACTGAAGGATTGGATCACCTCTGTAAGTGTGTGTGTGTGTGTGTGTGTGTGTGTGTGTGTGTGTGTGTGTGTGTGTGTGTGTGTGTGTGTGTGTGTGAAGCAGATGTCCATGCATTTGTGTTCTTGTATTGCACGAACAAGTCTCATCTCTTTTTATTTATTTCATTTTTTGGCAAAATAACTGGTATTAAGAATTTTTAACAAGTGTTTACCCTTTTTTTATGTATTGTGCCATTAATGTAATAAAACTACTGTAATGTCGTCATGGCGACAGAAGTTAGGCCAGGTGTAGATTGTGTACAGGTGACATTATGACTCCCCCCTTTGTCTTTCTGCTCTGCAGGAAGTTTCCTCTGACTGATGTTCAGTTGTCCTGATATATTTATGGAGATCTCTGTGCTGACAGATGTAAAGTTTTTATCGTATCTTTCCTTTACAGAAACATGAAGTCCAACGGTGGTTTTTCTAAAAGGGGCATTAGTGAATTTTAAAAACTATCCAATCTTGCAGTGAAGTGTTGCTTTTTTCGTGGAAGAAAACTTTAGATTTAAAGAGAGAAAACTTCTGACCGCTCATGTTTCGTTGACTTGAAGCGTGTTGTTTTTGTGGTATTAACACCTGGAGTGGAGTGGGAGCGATGTAATTATAATTATGTAATTATACGCATTTGATTGAAGTCGGTGTTTTGTCTTTTACCGAGCACCTCTCTGGAAAAGACAGACTTTAACCCTCCCACCCGATCTCTCCTCTTTTATAAACTTGCTTTCACTGTTAACTCGTTCCTGGATAAGTTATAGAAAAAAAAAAAGAAATGTGATGTCAAAGCTGCCGTTCATGGTGAAAATGTGTTGGAATTGAACATCAACTGTGCTGAAAAATATGTTTTCTCAATGACAATCGCCTGCATAGCATCCGTTTTACCTGTCGGACTGCCAAATCCATTATTACTTTGTGTAACGTTCAAAACCATGTGCAGCTTAAAGACGAGTGGTTTCGTTTTAGGTGTTTGGGTCAGAAAGAAACACCTTTGGCATCACTGTGGGGTTTGTGGTTCCTGAAACAAGCCTTTAATAAAACGTAACCATCTTCTCTCGCTTCCTGTTGTTCCTTCTGTTTTCATTATTTCTTACTTTAATGTTCTAATTTAATCACTTGATATAATTGCTGTAAAGACTTTCAAGTGTTTTAACTAAGAAGCTCCTCTGGAACCGACAGTTTCCATAATTTATTTTTTTTAGATCAATAGGGATAAACTTGTTAATTGGTCAATCTAAAAATATGTTTTAAACAATAGGCAGAGCAGTAATTAATCTTTATCTTATCTTTTTTTTTTTTTTTTACAAAGACAACCTGTTAACATTGCTCCTTTTTCCATTGCTTACCAAGTATTCGATTATTAAATTTAATTTGCAATAAAACAGAAATAGGCCATAGTTCTGCTATAATAAATATAATACATATACGGTATAATGTGTAGTGAGCTGCAAGGCTCGATTAGCTTGGTTAGCTTCAGAGCTCCACTACAGTCATATTTTAATAACGGGTTCTCTCTTTTTCGAGCTACTTGACAGATATGTGACAGATGTACTGTGCGTGGATGGTTTAATCAGTGACATGAGACGTTAATTTTCTTTGACCCATCAAAATAAATGTGGTCATTTATTAACAGAATCAAAATTTAACATCAAAACATTGTACACTGGATTAGATTGATCGGCTCTGATTAATAAAACTTGGCACGTCTTACTTAATAAAAACAACAGACATTTCTGAAGGCATCTGGATTAATTACTGGCAAGATAGACGTTTAAAGATGGGAAATGAAGGAGTTTAAATGGAGAGAAAATGTGGAGGAAGAAAGTGTGTTGACGAGGAATGGCACCCTTCATCCGACCCCAGCTCAGCCCCGGTACACTAGGTAGTGAAGCGACTCGTTACCTTTGCAGAAGATAGGTCAGCTCCGGTACGGAGTTCCATTTCAACGCTACCTTTCAGCGTCTCCTCAGGATGGCTGAGAATCGTCCGAAGTAGTGACGGTACTCCGTTCAACAACACGCTCATCTCCCGGGTGGATACACAGCGAGCTGTGAGTCCGTCAGAGGTTCCACTCAGATGTGGAAGACTCCATAATCCCAACTAGACTCAGAAGACTGAGTCTGAGAAAAACTCAGAAGAACTCCTAGGAACTCCAGCCGAACGCCATCAGAACCAGAAGGGACTCCGAGGAACTAACGGAACCAACTGAACTCACAGAACTAATAAAGAGTTCTGCTTCCGGTCACTTTTAGGAAGTCCTGATTGGTTGAAGGAACCAACAGGGGTGTGGTTTTAGTGACGTCAGAGGGTCATTACAAGTCGAGAAAACATCAGAAATGTTTAGGAACAGTTAGTTACAGACGAGAAAATATTTTGGAGAAATGACAGACTTACTGGTGCCAGTTTTCTTGTTTCTGTCTGAGAGGTTTAAAAACACGACAGTTCGTTCCAATAAACTTGTTTTTGACTGTCTCCGACTTTTGATCGACATCACTCCTTCTCATTTCAGACAGAAGATCAAAAATGCATAATTACTTTGTAAAATAGACATTTAACTTGATTTCTACTTTGAATGAGGATTAAAAAATCATTAATACTGTTTCACAGTTGATTTAAAATGAGTGGTTCACTTCAACATTTAAAAATGGTATGAACTAAACACACTTTTGATTATCAAGATATTGTAAAATAGTAATGATAATATATAAAAAAGAGAGTGTTCTTTCAATTGATTAGTTCAGGATACAATTAGAAAGTCTCTGGATGAACTAATTTGTATTTCTGGATTCAAATCAATGAAATAACAGTTCCTGTCCCATGAAGGTCTTCAGAGGCAGGTTTGATCA